AGATTGACTCCAACGTGCTCTTCTTTCAGAGTCTGAGTGTGCTTGTGGGGGCAGCAGTGCCGAAGGCCAGACCAGTGCTGGAATCCCAGCTGGAGCAGCTGCTGACCATGGTCCACGCCCAGGTAATGGGGACAGCAGCCCGCTCACCTGCACAGACAGACGTCACAGTAGCCAGTAAATGATTAATGTCTGTTTTGAGGAAGTGCCCGAAGTATTAGATATTGCCATGTCCAGTTACTGTCCCAACTGAAAGCACTTCTATATTAATAGTACCCAGTTTGTCAGCACGTGCAGAAGATGTGGCTGGGTTATATAGTAAATGTGCTTTGGAAATCCTCTGTCTCTCTCAGGTTTGTGCTTCTTTCAAATGTCCTGGGAAACCAGAGGAGGAGAGAAGCGCATCCTTAGTGCTGAGGTTCTGCGTCTTAGGTGAGGGCTAAGGGCTTTGTTTTTATGTGTCAGACATACAAAGATGATTCCTTCAGACCGGGACAAAGATAGCTTTACGTGAGGGTATTGTCTCCGTAAGAGAAATTCCCAGTTCATTAAAGGTGGAAACCTTTTCAACACCAGTGTGACTTGGATCACTAGATGCCACATCCAACAGTCACAAGCCAGGGAGCTCAGTTGTGTCCCTGTGGTAGAGCAGCTTCAGTCAGTGGCTCTACTCTTCTGTGCTCAAGATGTCCAAGATGAACCACTTCACTAAGAATGAAGGCACCAGTCGTTAAAGGGGAACTTTTTATATTTTAGGGTTAGAAGGAATCTACATTGATGGGTACATTTCAAACCCCAATGAATATAAAATGTATACAGTAACGTGTTATAGCTCCAATTGACATCACAAAAGAGATGGCATTTCCAGGTTTGCGCAGCGCCATGCAGGTGATATTGTCTGTGATTCCGAACGAGGCAACAGAACGTCCGGTGAGGTTAAGGGGCCCTGTTATATTGTGAACAGGCAGGCTTGTGAAGACTGTTAAATATTGCTCTTCATTTGGAGACAGTTGTGCCGACCAATACAATTTGCTTGCAGATTACGGTGGAACATTTCTGTGGTGAAATGTCTGCTGCACAACCTGAACTTAGTCGCTTGTACGTTGCATGACTTAGTCATTACAGTGTCTAGTGAGCAGGAAGGGCTGCTTCATGCGATGTCACCAGCTGATGAAATGTTGTTCTGTTTTGATGTGTGTCCTCCGAGCTGGGTGTACAGATGAGATGATGAAGATTATTTGTAGGAAGGGGCTGTAGGTTCTAGGTGCAGGTTGATGGGGAGAGTGTGTGCTGTCCTGAGTGCCATGATTTCCTTCTGCTCTGTTGCTTTTTTGTAGCTGGGGAGTTTCCAGGGAGGGTGCTGGAATTCTGCATGTCCCAGCTGGAAAATCTGGAGGAGCATAACCAACTAGGCAGCCTGACCATCCTTGCGAGGCTTGACTGTCTTTTCCCAAATTGGAAACTCATCCTTCCTAACAGGAGTGTCGATTTTATTTAGGAACGGTTGAGAATTATTCATCAGAGTTGATAGGGTGTGAGACTGTAGTCCTCCGTAGCCATGAGATGAACCCCGATTCCTTGTCACTTCTTAGTCCTCTTCATCTGCTGCGTCTGGTCAAGCTGCTTGGACCAGGGCTGCACTCACAGGGTTGTGTGTTTTTTCAGTCTGTGTCAAGGAGACCCTGAAGGAGTATGTCCTCATGAGCTTTGTGGCATCCCTTCACAACCCCAGCAATCAGGTACAGTCAGAGCTGCAGTGATCTGGCCTCGCTCTGCTGTCATGTGTCAGTGCTCTGTATTCTGCTGCGCCTGGGAATGTGTGAAGTACTCCTGAGGTGTGTGGAAGGTGTGAGGGTGTTTGTGTGTCTCAGCGTGTGCAGACTGGTCCTCTGTGACGATGTGCTGTGATTCCTGTCCTCAGGTGAAGTATCTGGAGTCGCAGGTCCTGATTGAAATGGGGCAGAAGGGCTACCTGGGGCTGGGGTGCAGAGTCTTAGCTCTGGAGTACACAGTAAAGAACTGTGCCCTTGCAGATGACACCACCCAGGTATGGAGCTGCAGTTTCCGGTTCTTTGTCAGTAATGTTCCTGAATGAACATGAAATAAAACCTTGGACTTCCTGTTGAGCAGCGCCCTGAGAACTGTCAGTTCATCCCAAGTGTTTGGCTTTACCTCTTCTTGCACAGGATGAGCATGTCCCTGCTCCACACCGAGTGGAATAATGTGTGTGTTTCTGTGTGTTCAGGCCGAGCAGAGTGTGAGCAGCAGCACTGTGAGGCAGAGCTTTGAGGCTGTGCTGGCCTGCTGGTGTGCCGATGAGAGTGTGACTGAAGTAAGTGCCTCTGTCTACAGTCTCTGCCACCTGAGACTGGAAACCTCTTCCAGCTCGATGCTCAGGCAGACTGTTGTCAAGCCTGTCTATTATCTCTTCCTGTATCCTTTCTTCCTCTTTCACTGTGTTTCTTTAGAAGGTGGTGCTGCTTTTTAGCAATTGTGTTGAGGAGCTGGAGGTTGGAGTGGCCTGTGTTTTGTTGTGCTCTTGCCAGATGCTGTGGCCTGTGTACCTGCTGAGGTTCCTCACCTGGAGGAGTTATAGCAACGCTCTGCCCACACTGTGCCAGAACCTCAGTGTGCTGCACAGGAGGCTGAGGGAGAACAGCCCCTCCTTCCTGTGCGACTTTGATGAGCTTGGTTAGTATCGAGGATCCGATGGAGTGTCTCAAATTTGTCATATTTGCTCCTTGGTTCTGGGACTGTGTGGAGCCACATGGGAGAGGGTGCCCCCACTGTATTGAATTCTAAAATTGATAGCAGAAAGGCCAAGTTAATGAAAAGCTTTAAGTATTTAAAAATTCCATGTTTTGAATTTTGACATCATTTTGCATAAGCATTTTCCATCCTTAACTGTGATTAAGGATATGGGAAACTGGGCCAGTGGGGGTGATTCCTTTCTTGATCCAGTGTGAACTGGGGGAAAAAGTGCATCAGTGAAGCCAGTGATTCAGTATTCAGTGTAGACAGCAGCTAGAGAGCCGTGCACACTGATACCCAGCAGTGATGTGCAGGCCCGAGCTGAAGTTCTGTGCTGACATCTGCTTGCCAGCTTGGAGCATCCCAGCCGCACAGAGGTGGGACTGAGTGCCTGAGCCTCCTGCAGTCCCTGGGCTCAGTGATCCATCCCCAGCTGCCCAGTGTCTGGGAGCCGCTCATCCCACCTCTGGCCAGGTGTACCTCACAGCACAACAGGACAGATCTGCAAAGAGATATGTCTGAGAGAGCACTCAGCTGCTCCCGAGAGTACACCACGATAAGTGTAGAAGTCTGTAGCAGAATTATATGATTTCTCTCTGGGAGTTTTAGGTGCGTTTTGAGGATTAATCAGATTTGGAATCTTTCAGTGTTGCATTAGAATCAGTGTCATATCTTCTGCTGAGCACAGGTTTTGTCCTTATGGCAGCATTACCTGAGCAGATCTCCATCCCACTGTCCAGAACTGTACAGGATACAGCATATCAGATGGGAGATTTACATTTATCGACACCACCATGTCCATAATGTCACTCATCTGTGTTTTCTTATGTTCAGTTACAGCTATTCTCCCTCAATAAGCTCTGAGCTGCTACAGGCCCTATCTAAGTGCTGAGTTTTTTGTGTGTTGTGTTTCAGAATTTCCAGCAGTGGCAGGATGGGCTGATTGTGGTATGTAGTGAGAGAGGGGATTGTTAACACACACAGTGAGAGGGAGGGGGCACACACAGGGAAAGTGATCTTCTTCCTCTGTTAGGTAATGTCATGTCATTCAAATGCAGTGACAGATGTCTTGAACTTCCTCTCCTGGCTTGCTGTGGATTCAAGAGAATAATCTATCTTCTCTTGTTTTGGATAATTTGCTAAATATTATTGTTAAACATTTAAAGGTAAATGTTAAATTTAGAGATTTTGATATTATTTTATATTTTGTTACACCTGATTTGGAAAGGTTTTTTTATTTAAATTCTAGTAATTTAAAGAATCAAAAGGCAAGACATACAATGGAAATATGTAAAAAGCACAATTGTTATTGTGAATTCCTCTGGCTGTGAAGTGTGTCTATTTCTGTATCTCTTTTAATATTTTGTCTCCTTTTTTGTATTTCTGATGTTTAAATAAAATCTTTAAAAAAAACATTCCTGGCTCCCGCTCGGCTCTGAAATGCGCTTCCCTGTAGCTTCCTGTAGTGTAGTGGTGTTTCTCTGTGCATCCTGAAGCAGCGCCCCGGGAGCAGCAGAGACCCGTCGCTGGGCTGCAGGAGGTCCGAGACTGACGGCCCTGCAGACCCGCTGGCTCAGCTGGTGCCATTTCTGTGTGAAACAGCTTGTTTCCAGCTCCTCCTGTCTGAACACTTACAGACTGAAGACAGGAAAGCGCTTCATACACTTCAGTGTTGGTTCAGCACCATTCATACATTCTGGAACGAAAACCAGCTTCTGTACACGTTGTGTAATTAATTTAAACACAAATGTGTGTGTGGAGGAGAGAGAGAGGTGTGCTGTGCGGTCCAGAGTGAGCTGGGGTGCCCAGGTGTCTCTGCAGTGGCTGGGGAGGGACGCCATCGTCATTCATACAGTCTGGAATGAGTTCCCGTGGTCTGGTGGTCTGTGTGACTGTCGCTTTCCTGGTGGTCTCCCTCACCAGTGTCCTGTTCAGTGGGGAGGAACAGTCCAGCCTAGGACTTACCTTCTAAAGTCTGTCTTAAAGATCAGCTTCACAGACACGAAGACATGCTTTGTACTCTTCTGATCAGCGCCTTCATACATACAAACCACTTAGGTCCTTGATATATGCACACATCTGTGCTTGAAATTCACTTCCTGACGCTGAGGGAGGAATATTAACTCTTATTATCAGTCATATACAATTTCTTGCATTAGGAATTTGTCTTTTTGTATTCTCCAACTTGCACTCCATGAGACATTTGCATGCAGAGAAGCTGGGGGTCAGCCATTTATACTGCACCCCTGGAGTAGTTGGGGTGAAGGGCCTTGCTCAGGGGCCCAACAGAGTAGGATTCCTCTGCCGGCCATGGGATTCGAACCGGCAACCTTATGGCCACAGGAGAAGATCCTGAGCCACAGAGCCATCCTGAGCTCCACTCTTATTGGGCACCGATTCGGCACTCGTTCTGTAATCTGTGTTGTATAGAATTCCCACAAGGGCTAGGCTTCTAAAATCATGACTTTTCCATTTTCAAAACGTAATTACTGGCAGTTTTAAAGCACTGATGACTGGAATGAAGGGAGAACTGCAAGTTGCCTGTCTATTTCCGTCAGGCACTGTACACAATCCAAACATTTTACCTCCCAGAATTAAAAACAAAGGACATGTCAGTGAATTGATTTTTTTTTTTTTTTGCGGTGGGGGGTGTTAATAAGGACAGCTCACTTTTTGATGTGCGGGAGGAAAGTCCCAATCATCGTCGCCAGACCGCTTCGGGGAAGGAAGGAGTTAAAGGTGAACCGTGAACTTCAGCCCAGCCCCGCCTCAGCGGAGCGGCCTGGTAGCCGTGCATCCGTAAACCGCGGACATCTCGCGTAGCAGCGCCCGTCCGCAGCCCGCTGTCCGGATACAGAGCGGAGACAGGCCAGTACTGCGTGCGAGTGACTGCTGAGGACACTGCAAACATTATTATTATAGTTCAGGTGGGTAGCTGCGTCAGCATGTGTAGTCTGCAAAGGAACAAGTAACAGGTTTATTCCCTGCTGGAAAGAGAAGAGAGAAAACAACGTGTCGGATGTGAAGCCTTCTTCAGGTGTGAGGAAGAATAATCATCATCTTTGTTGTTGTTATTATTATTATTATTATTATTATTATTATTATAGAATGCCTATTTACGGATCACAATGTTAACGTTTTTTATTTTTTCCCCAGCTGTGAATACTGTAGGAAGAAGTCGTATGGTTTAACACTGGTTCCCCGATACACTTCTACTTATAGCGATCTGTGTGGGGGGGAACCTCCGTTTAGCTCACCCGACTTACCGGGAGCCTCTCCCCGTTAGCCGGTGGAGCAGAGCAGGACAACGGGGCTGTTCAGTTCGACTGTGGCGCTGTGTGCCTCCGTTTTACCGCACAATCATTTTTTAATGCCTTTCCTCGCTGCCAATCGATTTAACAGTCGCCTGAAGTGAATTAAGCGACGTTTTAGACAATTCCGCGTATCCTGCTCTCGTTCACACGCTCCAGGGAAGTTCCTCTGGTCAATTTTAGCTGCGCTTGTTTTTACGTTCAGCATCTGCGTTACCGCTGGCGTTTCGCTTGTAACCGCAGAGCCCCCTGTGTTGCAATCCGTCGATGTAGCCAGACGCCCAGCTGTGAGAGTAATGATCAGACAGAGAACTGAGGAGCTGGTTGCGCTGAGATACGGGACTGCTAGGAGTTTTCAGACGTTTAGACGCACAGCATGGCCACCCTGAGTAGCGCTCGCATATCCCACCCTTCTACATGTTTAACGGCTGCATGTTTTATACAGTGTAAGCCAAAGTGAATTTGTGTGCAGACATCAGAAAGTACGACCTGCATGGTGAAAGCTAGCCGGGCAGTCTTCCTCCGAACTAGGGGGTTCTGATAAGCAGACGCCTTTCTTCCTATCACATTTGGAATGGTTATCAGCCCACTCGGAAATCCGTAGATGTGCTTTCGTGGGACTAACTTTAGATTTCTGTGGGTATAAAGCGCCGCGGTGCAGTTTTCACCCCTGTGGAATAAGGAGAGGGCGGGAAGTGGGAGATGGCCGCTGTTTGCTCTTCGGCAGGAGGGTATGAGCCCCTCCCCCAGGAGAACACGCAGACGCAAAGTGATTCTTTCAGTAAGATAAGGGGAGTTATAAATGTGTTTGTTCCACTACTAGCTTACTGAGCTGAAGATGTCACCCTGCTGTTTCCTGATGGGGAGTTTCCCAGTGAGATTACCGCATGCCTGGGTCATTTGGTTACACGCACCCACAGCTCTTTGTGTAAAAGGCGCTTCCTGTTTTTGTAGTTGGCTGGTGACATGCCCTGGTCTCAAACCCGTGACAGCTGTGTGATGACGCTGGCGCGCTCGGCAAACACGACGCCTCCGATCTCCCATTTTAAGAGGACTGTCCATGTCTTTCAGCCCCCCTCTGGGACCCTAAATCTAGCATGTTGGTTCCCTTCAAGGAAAGTCTGTGAAGTCGTCCTCGGTTGCTTTTGCAGGTAGTTCTGCTAAGAACTAGCCAAAGCTGATGATATTCCCAGCTACTCCCTGGAGTAACACTCCCTGGGAGTGTCTTATACACTTTAGCCTAACTCTTCAATCATCTGTCTCTTCTGCAGCAGCACTGAAGAACTCAGCTCCAGCACATTATCCACTGAAAGCATCATTAATGCACTAAAACTCAGCTTCACCCCTGACACTCAGTTCTCAAACTTCACTTCAATAAACACTGTAACATCTTTCTCACTTTTCACCAAGCGCCGGGTCGTTGGCAATGCCGAATTCTTCTGGTCACGGACTCTGGCGGCTGATCCTGTTTGGCCAGGCACTCGAGGGACTCGCGCCCCCGATACGGCGGCAGCCGGTTCGCCGTCTTCTCTCCTATCTCGCGCTCGGAGACCGCCGGTCTCTCTGCCGATGTTGAGACAAAGGGAGTGTACAGGACTCAACCACAGCTAGACTCCTCTCTCTGGTCTACGGGAGGAAAGTACCCAACACCAGACCCCCTTCTGTTCCTCCACAGCACGCCTCTACCTCCCTGAGTCTGACAAATAATCGAGCCAATGGCCATCTATTCAGCTACTGTGACAACCCTCAAAAAGTGACATAAGCTGTATTTTCTCAGGTACCCTTAACCTTGTCCTTAGAATGTCACTGGCTTGTAGGACAGCTCAAGCTGTTCCACACACACACACACACACACACACACACACACACTGCTCTTGTTTGCCCTTTTATTGAAAGGTATAGACAGATTCAACCTAGTGGGCTTCTTCAGAATAAACATTGAAACAGAAATCTGATGGCACAGGTTGAAGCCAAGGGTAAGGACATTCCAAACCGAAGAAACTCTTTACACAAAAAGTGCTGGGCGTCTGGATCAAGCTACCCAGCCACGTTTTTAAGGTGTGACCCTTGCATCTTTCAAGGAAGGGCTGGATGAGATCCCCTGATCGATAAGTTAGTCGTTGTGAACTCTGGACTTTGCAGGCTACTTGCGATCTTGCAGTGGCGTCAGCTGAGAGATGAGTCTCTCCTCCAATCAGGGCTCTCCCGTAGGGTGTGGCTCTGCTGTGTGTGCTGCAGAGGTTGCCCTGGGGACGCACTTGACAAACCACATCTTGGAGACACGGTCCCCAACCTGCGTGTGTTGATGAGAGGCTTAAGAGCACTGCTGTTCCAAATTCAAGGGGTGTGAAACGATACTCCCAGCTGTCGGAGTGCATCTGGATCTTACCTACAGTATCTGTTATTTCAGGCGGGTCTTTGAGGTGAGAGTTTCTGGGAATTTGTAAGTAATGTGATCCTGGACTTGACCATGCAGTTTAGACGCACAGTTTCTCATTGATGACGTCTAGCTTGCTGTGAATCTCCACAAGGTGCGAACTCTGTGAGTGGGTCTAATTGCAGCTTATAACAAGAGGCTTTTTAACATAAAGCTTCAATGAGATGCGAGTCTTCATTCGTTGGATTAACCCTTGTGGAAAGATGCCCCAATGGGTTCTGTTTTACAAAAGCCAAACCCGGGACACTGTGTGCAAGGGCTGGTATTTGGTCTTGAAAATGTGTTGAATTGGCTCTCCTCTAATTTCAGTCAATGGTCTCCCATTTTGTGAATGTGCCCATTCGAGCATTTCATGTTGCATTTCTGGAAAATAATTGTTTAAAAACAAACAAACATCCCCCAACGTTCAAGAAACAGTGTTCAGAAACGGGGAATATAGTGCACCCAGGGTTGTGTTGCTACAGGAGTGTAGCCTGCATGAAATGTATTAATTTTTTCATGTTTGCTCTAGTTTCAGCTGAACCTCTGAAGGGAAAAAAATATCAAAACCCCGTTCTTTCTTCAGTTTTGTCCTGTGAGCTGAGCTGTATTTCCAGGTGTAAACTGAGGAGTGTAGATTCGAAACCTTACAGGGAAATCACCTTGGGCGAGTCTTAAGTAAAGCCCAGTAAAAGCCCAGCGCTGTTAATAAATAATAACTGCTTACACTTATATAGCGCTTTTCTGGACACTCCACTCAAAGCGCTTTACAGGTAATGGGGATCCCCTCCACCACCACCAGTGTGCAGCCCCACCTGGATGATGCGACGGCAGCCATAATGCGCCAGAACGCTCCCCACACATCAGCTCTCAGTGGGGAGGAGAGCAGAGTGATGAAGCCAGTTCAGAGATGGGGATTATTAGGAGGCCATGATTGGTGAGGGCCAAGGGGAAATTTGGCCAGGACGCCTGTTGTCTGGCTCTGTCAAGCACTAGCTAGTCTAAAGAAGATGGTAGATAATCCGATGGCTGTGGTGATCTCTTTCCAGGCCCCCGAGCGAGCGGCGCTGGCAGCATGTCCGTGTCCATGACCAGGGGCGAGGGGGTGACGGTGTTCACCCTGACCTCGGACACCAGCAGCAACTGGCCCCTGGTTTGCCAGCTCCTGCGGCAGCTGTGCTGCAGCCCGGTGTGCGTGGTGTCCCATCAGCTGAAGCAGCTCTTCACCGGCACACAGACAGCACTGGGGGTGAGCGAGCACGGCGCTCAGCACTGGGGGTGACCTTCACGAGCTGTTTACATCTCGATTTGGATCGATTCATGGTATTTGAAACAGCTCAGTAGGGTTCCTAATGATAATTGCTAGGCGTTTTGGATCCCCAGTGGATCTCTTACTTGGGAATCTTGCTGAATAAAGAGGAGGCTTGTCCGTATTTCCCCTACGCCTCTTAGGACTTGACTGATTTGTCCCCTGACGACCTCACTGACCTGTTATCTCTCTGCACACCTGTACGTTAAGGGTGCCAGACAGTGCAGGAGGTTTTACTTTAGAGCTTTTAATAGGTCTTTCAACAAAGAGGACTCTTGAACAGCCTATCCCAGACCGCTACTAAAATCTCACACCTCAGCAATCAGTGAAATAATCAGACCTTTCATAATGTTTAATTTTAACTTTTTATTTTCATACATTTAGTAATTATTTCCTAAACATATTGGAGGTCTGCCTTTAATCTGTTATGTTCCAGAAGTAATTTAAGGTCTCCAACCCTCCCAACTCCTAGCCCTCACTTCATCTCCACTATGTGAAGTCTAACCGTAATCCACTAATAGAATTAACATGCACCCAGTGAGATTATTTTCAATTGTCTCCTGAGGCTGCATGGTGTAGTGGTTAGCATTGGTAAGCACTGGGTTCAGTTCCTGTCTGTGTGGGGTTTGTATGTACTCCCCTTGCTTTCCAGAATAGGTGATCCTCAGTTGGATGAAACAGAAATAGAAACAGATACAGGCCTCCTATGATGCCCTCTAGTGTCAGTTTTATGGTCTGTGCTGTCTCTTCATAGAGTTGGCCTGCGACAGAATATCCTAACATCTGTGTCATCTGCTTGTTAGGAAATCTATTTGTTCGAATTTCTCCTTCACAAACTTGTGGTTTATTTATTTCAGACCATGCAGATTATAGTGGGGCTGTTCAACATCGCATTTGGTGTGATCCTTCGACGGACTTCATACTTCATAAAGAATTCAGACGCACCCTTTTGGCTGGGAGGTCTAGTAAGTCTTCAGAGCTTAGAACAACAGTCCTTTTTTCTCAGTGAAAACTGAGAACTTTGAGTCTCCTGCTGAAGTGAAATGTTGCTTCTCACCTCAGGGTTAATCAAAAACAGAACTCGGAGTAGCAGAGACCACTTCCAAGAACATACAGTAGTTTTCACAGAAGAGAGGTTGTAGTCAGATCTGTACCATTGAATAATGCCTGGTTTTGTTCCATGTTCATCCATCCAGTCCTAAGAGTCATGGCTGAAAAACAGCATGAAAAAGTTGAATTTCAGAAGTATACGCTTCCTCAGTGCTGGTTGAGTTTGGGCCATGTTACTAGCCCACTGTGACTGGGATTCCCCAAGGGGCTCAGCTGGAGGGAGGATGGGATTAGTCAGACGGCCGCTTGCAGGATCGCAGCGCTGAACCTCCTGCGTGAGTGTCATGATCGTCATCCCTCCTCTAGGGGGCGCTCCGACCCTTTTTGTGTTTTAGTTTCAGTATCACGTAAGCCACATCACTCTGCAACTCCCAGCTGGCAGCCCCACTGGAGCTCAGCAGGTGTGAGCCTGGTCAGTACCTGGATGAGAGCCCTCCTGGGAAAAACTAAGGTTGCTGCTGGAAGAGGTGTTAGCGGGGCCAGCAGGGGGCCCTCACCCTGTGGTCCATGTGGGTCCTAATGCCCCAGTATAGTGACGGGGACCCTATACTGTAAACAGGCGCCGTCCTTTGGACGAGACGTAAAACTGAGGTCCTGACTCTCTGTGGTCATTAAAACCACCAGAGAAAGGGATAGCACATAGATCTTGTTATACCCTTCACAGCTGTTCCACAGAGTCCATTTTGTCATTTCTCCCGGAATAATAAGTATAAAGTTAGAGAGTGACGAGTTACTGTGCTCTTATCTCCCAGTTCATCGCCGCTGGTGTGATGTGCATCCTTGGCGAGATGTTCCCCAGTCCCTGCTTGGTAAGTCGCCTGTTACTCCCTTGAGGTGAGGTGTCGGTGTTGGGCGGGTCCCCCCTGATGGAGCTGGGAGACTGAGCGCTTGGCTCGGGGGAACGTGGCCCTGATGATGAGCCGTCTCTGGACCCGATGGGGAGGTGTGGGCTGGGTGCTCCTGAGAACTGGGGGCTGTGGTGCCTCTCTGCCCTTTGCCTTGAAACGCTTGTGATCATGTGTTTTCTCTTATGGGAAACATGCACATTGGATTTCACCCAGGTTACTGCTATTATGTACGGTATTGTGTGTCGATTGATGGTAAAAAAGAATCAATTCAATTTGAAATAAGTCTACAGCACAACAAAGTGTGGAAAAATTAGAGGGGTCTGAACACTTTCTGAAGGCACTGTAATCCGCTTCTGTCTTTTCCTTGATTGCCACCAGGCTTGACTTTCAACAGGTAGAATCAATTCAATTCAATTTATTTTCATATAGCGCCTTTCACAACACGTTTGCCCCAAGGCGCTTGACAATACAATTGACGATACACGTTGTCAATACAGAACAGAAGACCAGAAGACAACGGAGGAGAGGACCCAAAAACTCCTTAGTAAGGAGGAAAAAAACCTCTAGGGGTCCAAGGTCAACTGGCTGTCCAGCACCTTTGGGCATGCTAACATTATATAATTAAAAAAAGGAAACGATTAGGGTATTAATCCATCCAGCCATCATGTCTTCTGTGTGCAGATCTCTGTAGACCAGTAAATTGCTCCTAAACAATAGCTATATCCACAATGTCCCCCTTGGATCCATGGCAGTGATGCAGGATCCAACTCGGATGGAACCCAGCCCGGGCGCCATCCGGACACGTGGGGAGGAGATCACCTCGTGATCTGTGACCAAGTTCTCTATGATAATGTGAATTTTGCCTTGTGCCAACAGTCCATCGGGGAATGAAACGTTAATCAAAACGTTGAATCGGTATCCATTAAACCAAGGATCTTTCTGCTTCTGCCCTGCAGGTGTTTCTCACCATCTGTATGAACCTGGTGAGCTCTGGGCTGGGACTCACAGCCATTGTGTTGTACTCGGTGGATATGGCCCGGCTCACGCACAACTCCTGGATGTACTATTGCTCAGATGATAAATACAGGTCTTGGACGACAGCCCCTCCTGACCCGGAGAAACAGCGCATCATGCAGCACAACTTAGCTGAGTGCAGGAGCAGCCGCCGGGTCCTGGTGGTAGGTCTCCTTCATTCCTTACAGTAGGCGGAAGGTGGGGGGAAATATAGCTGGTCCCAGGCTGTGGTGAGGTGGGCAACACCGCACCCAAACAAACAAGGGAAGAAGAGCTCAAAAAGTAAAACCAACACTCAGTAAGGAACAGGGCAAGCACTGAAATAAGTAAACAAGCACACAAAGGTAGAGAAGAAAAGCAAACTGGCATAAAGAAACTACGAGGTAGCTAAGCTAATGAGCCCTGAGTGAAGGTCGTAGGAACTAGTTACGGGAAATGAAACTCATAAAGAAAGGATAATGAAATAATAGATGAATTGGCCGCCCACTGTGAAGGTCTGCCTGAGCGTGTTCTGACATCTCCGGGAGGTGTGCTGTCCCACGAGTGCCTGCGGGATCGATTACCGTGAGGTTGAACTAGTCCGATACCAGGGACAGGATTGACATCGGTTACGCAAAAGACAATAAAATCTCTCAGTCATTTCCATCTTGTGAGATTGGTGCCTACAATGGAGCTTACTTACACTTGGGAGTTCGCAATGTCCAGTTTTCATCATCACAATGTTGCCAGTGTCGCCAGATGATCTGTGGCACGCGGTGTCGCGTCAGCAACATGTACACGACTCTCGGTTACTCAGTCCACGCTACGCTATGAATCTGACCAAGGTATTGCATGAAACAGTTGTGAAATTAAGTGATGCCAGCAGCCATGTCACTTACAATTGGCAACCCACTGAAGCTAAGCAAACCTCCTGGGAAAAACTAAGGCTTCTGCTGGAAGAGGTGTTAGTGGGGCCAGCAGGGGGCGCTCACCCTGCGGTCCATGTGGGTCCTAATGCCCCAGTGTAGTGACGGGGACACTATACTGTAAACAGGCGCCGTCCTTCGGATGAGATGTAAAACCGAGGTCCTCTGTGGTCATTAAAAATCCCAGGGCGATTCTCGAAAAGAGTAGGGGTGTAACCCCGGTGTCCTGGCTAAATTTCCCATTGGCCCTTACCAATCATGGCCTCCTAATAAACCCCATCTCTGAATTGGCTACATTACTTTGTTCTCCTCCCCCCCTCCGACGGCAGGTGGAGCGATGCCAGTTGGAGTATTCTCGGTCGCATTTAATGGCAACGTCAGCTCAAAGATTTGGTTCAAACCACCAAATGGAGACGGGCGTGCCGCCAAGCGGACCCTGCTGATGTGGGATTAACGCTAGGATGAGAGAGAGTTGTGATATTAAGTACAACGCGTTGTGAGGCAATTAGGAGAAGTCAAGATTTCATTGTCTTCCTGGTCTGAGAGTACCCCCGGACATCATTGTGCCAAGTGACTTTGTCAGTCCCTCCGGAACAACAGGGTGCAGAGCTGTGAGTTAAACTGTGACCCGTTTGGTTAGGGGATATTCTTTCTAATTTAATTTAGTTGACATTTTTTTTCCCCAGCTATAGCCAGGTCACATCTTTACCGGGCTTAAGACTTTAAAAAAGCCTTCACATACTGTATACTACTTGATTCATACCTATTCATATAAAAGTCAATACCCCAATAAAGGAAAACATTCTTTATGATGTTGATAATGATGATTCTTCATCTGCTCTTGTTCAGCTCATGCTTCTTCTCGTTGGCTAAATGCAGGGAACAATTTCATTCAGAGGACTTCACTACCCTGTACTTTCTTCTATTTTGTGTTGACCTGCTGCCAGGACAGCACACGGTGCTCCAGCTATTGTACGTGTATAAATTAGTGCTGCATAAAAAACAGGAAGTGCAACTACACAAGAGCTAAAGGATGAGCTCCACAGCAGAGCATGGGTATGCCCTCCCTCGCTGTTCTCCCTCCACCTGCAGAGCTGTGAGAGACAGAGTTGAACTGTGAGTTTGCCCTCCCTCACCGCTCTCCAGCAGAGCTTGTTGCAGTTTCAGTGGCCAGTGACACTTCCTCTGTGGTTTTGCTGGCGAGGGTGAAGGATTCGATGCCGGGCCCTCCTGCCTTCTGAGGTGGTAGTTAGTTGCGCAGTTAGTCGGGTTCTGACTCACTTTAACCAGACGAATGAAACCAGAGTTTGCCTTCGTGAAAGTGGAGCAAGCCTGAAGCCAGTTAGAACATTTGATTCAATCGGGCTGACTTGAGAAAGTCTTGGACTAGCTAAACCTGCTTCGTGAAACGGAGACATGTCAAACTGTCTCAGTCTCAGCTGATCAGCTCAGCAAACGGCTCCATCGATACACTAAGAGCTCAGCAGGAATGAAAACCTGTGACCAGGGTCCCCACTCCTGTGTGTCTGCAGGATTTCAGTCCAGCTGGACTTTCAGTGACCTCAATTAGCTCATTATTGGCTTAATTGGACCAGTTTTACAGCTTCTTCCAGCTCTTTAGGAGCTGCTGCTTCGAAGACCCCTGGAAACCTCACCGACACCCTGGGTATCCAGGAGCAGGCCTGGAGAGCCTCACCTGCAGCTCCAAGTGTGTGAGGCTGGCCTCAGCTTCACTCACGGTCTCCTTTGCTTTGTCTCCAGATGCTTGCGCGGGGACTGGATATCAGTCTGATAGTGTTTGCGGTTCTCCAGCTGTGTGTGGCCCTCAGCGCGTCTGTTCTGGGCATCAAGGCATTGTGCAAGACCAAGGGAAAGGCAAAGGTAAGGAATGAGACCAGTAAAAGAGAAAAGGAATGCACACCCAAAAAATACTGAGGTACTTCCAGGAAAAATCGCGAAATCAACTGCGCACATACAGTCATCTCCAAAATAATGTCATTATTAGCACTGGTCAATGATTTGACAGAAGCCTTCTTCAGGAAATACTGTACATCTTTGGCTGGGCAACTTATACAAGCCTGTATTCTTTAGTTGTTTATTATTTAACTGTTGGTTTGAGAGGAGGCCCTTGGTCTTGGAATCAATGCATCTGTTTGGCCATACACATACTTAATTATCTGGAGACCTATATGTATCAGAAAATGCATGTTTTTCCTAAATGTTCAGCTTCTTGGGAGTGGTCTTCGATGTCTATGGCCAAAAAAGAAAATTAAACTGAACATCAGGAACTAGAAGGATTTCATGCAGCATGACAGCAGTCAAGATCTCCCTCTCTCCTGTTGCTCTGACTGCTAATTCTCTGTGATGTCACTTCCTGAAAGCTACACAAGCCATAGAGCACCTCTCTTGCTCACATTTGACTTTCTGCCTCCCTTCTCCACCCCATCTCCAGCTGACCAGTTGCCCCTTGGTTAACCTCTCTCTGTAGGGGGTCTGACTTCCTCATCCTACAGGTGTTCACCCCCCCGCCCAGCAGGTTCAGCGAAAACTTCACGTATGTCCGTGAACGTTGCTATACACATTTTCTCAGGGCATGATGTTGTGTTGTAATGTTGTTTCTCTACGTACCTAATCCTTTGCCTCCCAGATGGGCTGAAGAGCAGGACTCTAGTTGATTCTAAGCGCTAAGGGGCAGAATGAGAAGAAGAGAGGCCCAGCAGATCTGTGGGACAGCAGCTGCCTGGCCTCTGGGATGCAGGTATGGACCTTGTCATTGTTTTTTTTCATCTGCACTGCCGCTGTTTTGCAGCCAGAGCCTGAGCCTGACACCAGCATTCCCCTCCTGGAAGAGGGCCCAGTGGTGTGATGAAAGAGGACCTCACTGTCACACGAGGATCAAGCCGATCAGATTGTCTACGAGCAATCAATTTCTTTGTCAAATACAGCCTTTTTAATTTCATGCTCCTATCCCGATTTAGTGCCTTAGGATGTGAAAAGATTTAAGACTTAAGCAGTGCAGGATTCAGGCAATTGAAATCTCTCTAAAAATGTTTTAGCTCTTGTGACTACCTGGGGGGATGGGAAGGGCTATTGATCAGCTCCCCCTGTGTTCTGCGACCACATTGCTGTTAATATGTAGCCCACCTTGAGAAAACCAACACACAGACGAAGTAAAAAAAATAAACAGGGAGGACACAGCCCAAGGGTGGTGCAGTGGTCAGCACTGCTGTCTCGCACCCTGGGGTGCTGACTGCATGGAGTGTGTTTGTGTGAGTTTCCTCCAGGTGCTCCAGTTTGTCTTCTGCGAAACCTGGCTCTGGTGTGTGTCTCTGTGTGTCTCCCCTGCACTGTACAAGTGTCCCATCCAGGATGTATCCCACCTTGTGGCTGTTGCTTGCTGGGATAGGCTCCAGCTCCCCTGTGACCCTGAGCTGGATCAAGCCCCATCGCCCCTGACAAACAATCGCCTGTCTGGAGTTCCAATACAGACCGAAACCCTTTTCCTCCTCACTGTATTTACAAGTTCTAATTACTCAGTTATACCAGGTGTGCCTCACTCCACAGGTGTTTTACATTAACATTTTGTTTAATTAACAGGTGGAAAGGCAGAAAGTCTTGCATTATGTATTGGATATTAGCATTTTGCAACTGCATCAGAATGTAGTCATGCTTTTTCACACGTTTTTTTAACACTGTAACACTCAATAAAGAGATGATGCACTGAGCTGGTGTGATCTTCAGGGATGTAACGAAGTACTAAGCAGACACACTACTGTGACTGAACACATTTTTAGATGGCCAGCGGATCCCTTATTTGTTCAGCCTTATAAACAAAATATTACATTTCACATGATTCAGTTTTGCATTTTGTATGGCACCATTTGGAAAAGGGAATCATTTCCTTCTCAGGATGTGAAATTCTACTTGGTTGACTGTGAACACAAACTTCAAGTAATTTGACTGCTGTTCTGTGATTCCACCTTTTTCTTAATGGCACGCGAACCCACATTCTACTGGTTTAAAGCTTTATTTAAGCATAAAACACAACAATAGCATTTACAGTGTTTTGCATGTTAAAGATTTACCTTAACACTTACAAGCCTGGTCCTTGCCTGGCACACTAAAGCAAATTTAACTGTGGAATTAGATTTATGTTTCATACTTAAACATTTGATTTTATGGTATATTTAAAGTCTGACAGCGGTAAGACTGTCTATTAGTCCAACTTTGCTCAAGTTGATTATCACAAGGTAATTGATTTCAGTTTAAAATTTCCAAACACTGCATTACAGTGTTATTTCCACCTGTGTCGGTTCTTCGGAAATTCGTCACCTTCCAAGAGCTGTTTGGTCAGGAGTAAGAATCAGTCATTTGAGGACAGTCTGCCTTAAGTGCTGAAGTATTTTGTAAAGAATCTCCTTGAAGTTGGATAGTGTTGAACCTGTGATCAAAACAAGTGGTGCATAAGCAGTAATTAGTACGGGTAATTTAGAACTCAATTGTAATGGAAAACGTTTTGTAGCTTTTTGTAAGTAGCTTTTTGTTAGGCATGTTCTGCTTGCTTCTACCTGCCATGAGTACTAGATTTGTGACGAAGAGGCGTAGTCTTGCCCTACGTCGTGTCACAGAGTAAATGGACCGCACAGCTCTGCGTATCACCGAGGTAAATACGAACAGGAAATTCAATCTCGTCGAGAAGCCAGGCATTGTAAGCATCCGGTTATCCGCTAGGGGGCGACAGGCGACCACCTGAGTAAAAGACTGGCTAGTGACGCTGACGGCTGACACCAGCGAAGAGCAAAATACGCAGATCAGAGAATCTGCATTTTGACGGCGATTGTATTTGACAAGAGTGTTCTGGTCAGAGAATGATGAACCTTGAGCTAGGTCAGTCTGTATTATGCAAGCGTAGGACGGCTCCACCATAAGCCTCCTTCTTTTGAAAAAGATAACAATAAATTCGAAAATGATCATCTGCCAGTGGCACCGGACTGAAAGGTGTCATTTTTTAATCCACAACCCCCTGGTTTGCCAGGAAAAAAAAGACTCGAATGAGTTCATCACAAATTACGCAGAGATTGAACCCAACGTGCAATCCGGTATCGCTTTGAGGTGTGAAAGTATTTGTGTATGTGTGAAATCTGTATTTTTATTAGGCCGTGGCTGCGCGGAGCCGCAGACTCGGACAGTGACGCGGCGCCTATTGCCACATCACCCACACGCCCTTACACCCTTCACGGCCCGACACCCCGGCTTGTCCGTCCCTGAACCACCTGAAACCGGCGCCCGGTCTGTGCCGTAGCGGGAGGTTGGCAGCCGAGAAGACGAAAACTCGCAAGAAAAAAACCAACACGGGTTCAGTCGGTTCCACATTCCTGTCCATTTGCACGTTGTAATTAAGTCGACGCGGCGAGTACTTCGGTAAAATCCAGTCTGACCGGAAAAGGCACGCAAAGGAAAAAAAAAGGCATCACAGTATCCACGGAAGCTAGCCACTTTCACGCATAAAACAGTAGTGACGGAATATAACATTTACTTGACTTTATTGCAAGATAGGATAATAATAATAATAATTGCTTACACTTATATAGCGCTTTTCTGGACACTCCACTCAAAGCGCTTTACGGGTAATGAGGACTCCCCTCCACCGCCTCCAATATGCAGCATCCACCTGGATCTGTGTAAATGCATCAGTTCGCAATATATTTTATTGATATTTGGACTGCACATATACAGTACGCCCGATTGCCTTAACATTATGCGCAGGCTTTATTACAACATAAACTTATAAAACAACCCCAGAGAGCCGTTGAAAACACAGGAAAATGTGTAGAATACTACACTTTATACGCTGTGTATAACGTTTGTAATGCAGTGCACAAATTCTGACCTCTGCTGAACACCGCGCATTCATTCACTAACCACCCCGCAGGGAGGCAAGAAAGACCCTTGATTAACACGGGGCGCTTTTCATCTTCTTTAACCGCCGTCAGTCACCCTGCGATCTCCACACCTCACAACCCCAGAAACCGCATTCCAACACACCCGCGCTGTGAAAGAGAAGACAATCCGGATTTTTAGAATGTTTGCTGTTTTTTTTTTTGTTACTTAGAAGCGGAAACCGTATTTCCAGGGAACGCGATGTCGAGCGGCTGCACCCGTGGAACTGACCGTGCTCGTGTGTGGGTTTAAAATGGATTGTGTTGGGCAGCACGGTGGCGCTGTCAGCGCGGAGTGATGTGTTAGAGCAGTCCAAGGCGATGTAACGCCGTGTGTCAAACATTTAACAGATAAATACAGCCAATCATACATGTACCGTAGGTCATCGTTAAACATTCTTCTCTGTACACGTCTTTAAAAAAACCAAAACGAAACCGAGCATCAGTTTTATTAATGCATTAGCTATTTTTCTTCAGTAGGTTACTCGTTTGGCAAGTGGAGTCTTAACACGGTGAACTTTTCAAAGCTGGTCACATTCCTGGCTTGAGATCAGATGATATGAAGAGCTCACACGCCGTTCCTGAACGACTTTATAACTCCTGAAGTTCAGGACGGTCCTCATGCGGACCGGTTTGCCCAGACGTCACCAGCCAGGCCTCTGCGGACGGAAACCCAGTTGATTCCGGGCTTGTCCGATACTCCGCCAACCCCCCCGGTGTCTGTTCACCCTGTCGAGTGCTGCTTTATCCGAACGGACGGTTAACCAAGCTGGCGAAAGGCGATGTATAGTTTAGGGTGCAGAAGCTGTTGGAAACAATGCAGGAACAGCTTCAACAAATCTCTAAACAACCATTAAAGTAAGCAATTAGCCCTGGAGACGTACGATAGAGCTCGGATTGAAAACATATATATTGTATATTGTAACGCAACGGGGGTTCAGGCGGGCGCCCTTGCCGCAGTAGGTCGGCCCCCCACCGTCGGGGGCTCGAACCCGGGACTCCCGCGTCACTCAGCAAGGACCCAGCCCTGGTAACTCGGCTCTTACACACCCTGATGGCCGTATGCGTTACAATATATTATGCTACTGTATATCTTTTTTAAACCATGCAGTGATTTTTAACGCGATATTGAGGAGTGTTTCTCAATACGTTGCGACAATATTGTGGTAGCAACAGAGGTGCAGGATCACGGATATATATACTGTATACATCTTTATCAAGCTGTAATGAAGTGCTCGATTAAAGAAGAATGCGCTTTAAACTGAAGCACGTACAGGTGAAGAACAATAAAACGATGCTATCTTCATTTCAACCCGTAGAGGGGGTGGTTTGAAATGGCAGGGTTGTACTTCAAAATTTCACATTTCCAATCGCCCCCTCCCCTCACACACCCAGAAGCACGCTGTAGTCTCACAAAGCGCTTGGACTGTGGTCCACAGTATGTCAAACACTTCCAGGATTCGCAGGTGTCGTATCCCATTCGTTACTGATGGAAATCTGTGTGCGACACAGTGGGCTCCGGGCTCAGCGTCACTCAAGCGGGACAGTAAACTTACATTCCAGGCTGTACTGTAGCTCTGTACTTCGCATGTGGGAGTTTCTCTATCTGCTGATAATTAGTGGCTCTGACTACACGGAGCGTTGCGTGTTTTCGGGGGAAAAAGGCAGGATTTCTAAGGTCAGAAACGGGATGATACTGCAAAGCCGCAAATCAGAAATGTCCGACAGAAGACACGCTAATCCAGCTAATCCAGCTCTTTCCACATTTGAATCCACCCTCGGTACACATGATCCCACTGTCATGATGTCCCGCGGGGTTGGCTGGAAAAGGGCGTTGTTGTGTTACTTTTTAAATATATCTCAAGTGTTGTCATAAGGAGGCCTCAATGACTGCTTTATTTTCAGACATACGACAAAGAGGTCCCCGCGGCCACACCAATACCGGAACCAGACCTCGAACAATCGCTCTCCGTGGACGTTTCCCACGGAGCCGGGCAGGGCCGAGGGGCGTGAGAACCAAGTCACGTCACCCGGACCTGCCACGTCAGCGAAGATCGGCAGAGCTCGGGAGTCCGGGTAGAAATAAAGGGATGTCAGACAAGCTAAAAAAAAAAACAGGTCTGTCGCACTTCCTGTAATTTCCTTTTGAGCAGAAGTCTTTTTTTTTTCTTCACAAAACATGTGTTGTTTTTTCATTTTGAACTTCGGGCTTCAGTGCCTGCTGCGTCCAAAGTGTCCAAACGGCTGCCGGGAACACGCAAGCTCAAATATCCCTCCCTCGTGGTGTTGACCCAAGTCACGGCTTGCCCACACAAAGTGTACCTTTAATTCAACCAGCGGGCGCTTCAACGCGTGTCCTCCAAAAATTCCTGCTTTTGAAGGTCATACCTATAAAAAGCCCCTCTTACCAAGATAAGGGAGGGAATTTCGTTTTCAAATAAATCGTCTGAAACAAATGGTTCTCAGTTGCTCCTTGAAGGAATGTGAGGATCCCAACCTAAGATGCATCTAAGACATTTTATTGTGCTATTAATAATTAAAATTAATAATAATAATTGCTTACACTTATATAGCGCTTTTCTGGACACTCCACTCAAAGCACTTTACAGGTAATGGGGATCCCCTCCACCACCACCAGTGTGCAGCCCCACCTGGATCTGTGTAAATGTGCGCCAGAACGCTC